TTTTTTTTTTGGAGGATATAGGAGTAGGAAATTTTTTTTTTTTAAGGGGGTTATGGCTAATGACAAAACTAATAAATGACTCAATCTCTGAAAGATAAGAATTATTAATTCTATCTATCTATCTATCTATCTATCTATCTATCTATCTATCTATCTATCTATCTATCTATCTATCTATCTATCTATCTATCTATCTATCTATCTATCAAATTGAAAACACTTGACACAACAGCAATTTCATTCAAAAACTCACGGTATTTCCTTGAAGGAATTCTGTAAGACATAATCTGTTGCCGTAGTGGACCAATCCTTCATTATATTAACGAGGAAGGTGAACCATGGGTAGTAAAGCTCTGGCTGTCTGGTGGCTCCTGCAGTGATGATGTTCAAGGCAGCATCTGTGGCTGGGTATGCTGGTATAGATGTTAGGTGCCTTGGAGATACAGTAAATAGAAGCACATCATTACAGAGAAGTGTAATTTCAGTGATCACCAGGTATTGTTTTGAACTTACCCAACGTTTACCATAGCCGTCTGTGTATCAATCAGTCCCAGTGTGCATATGGTGATGGACACGTTGCTCTTTTTCATCGATAGCTCATGGTAAAGTGATCCGAAGAATCCATTCAAGGCGTGTTTTGTTGCTATATATGGTGCGACGAAGGGACTTGGCATCTTCCCTGTAATGTGTGATCCATTAGTGACACTTTCGTTTTTTTTTATTTTAATTTGTTTTTTCTATCCTCAAAATAAACCATGTTAAAGTCATAGCACACATGCAATATCCAATATGTTGTAATGGAAAACTGTTCCAATTATTGAAGCTTTGTAACAGTTCTTGATGTAGCTCCGCCTCCTTTTAATCTTTCATCTTTTTTTTTTTGGAACTGGATTTCAGTCCTTTGACAGTCACTAAAGCAGCTCATGGCCTTATATGAGAAAACCCCAAGATTTCCTTAATGAAGAAATTCTCGAATGTAAACACTGCTTCTAGAAGTGTTTACTCCAAAATGACTGAAATGTTTTTTACTTCCCCTACTGTAAAATTAAATTACAAATAAATAAATATTTTTTTATTTTGATAATTGTAGCTGTTCAGTGTAACTGTAAACTTTTTAGAAAAACATTTTCATTTTGAAAATGTGCATATTACTGGAGTTATTAAAGGCCTTACACGATACAAGACAGATTTATTAGATACATAATTTTAGCAAAAATCAAGTCACCGCTGTGAGTTAGAACATAGTGGCTAACCCACCTGCAACAGAGGAAACAATGATTAGCGATCCTTTATTCCGCTCAAGGGAATCCAAGGCTCTCCAGGCCATCTGCACGTAGCTAAAGAAATTAGCCTTTAGCAAAAGAAAAAGAAAGACAGAGATAAATCAGTGCATCATCCCTGTTTCATGTGCTGGTAGATCAAAACCGTTAGCATTACCTGCATCAGCCACCTGATGTGTTGTACATTTCCATCCCACATGCCAACGCGGGTTAAGCCGATATGATTGACAACCAGATAATCCAGTCCTCCCAGCTTTTCCAGAGCGAAGTCCACTACTTTCTGAGGCTCCGACTCACTGCTCATGTCTGCTGCTACGTAAAGAGCTACCTGAGCTCCTAAGGTCCTGCACTTCTCCACCACCTAAAACCATAAGTATAGATACCAAATTACCCCTTAAAGCAGGGATGTCAAACATAGGACCCACAGGCCAAAATCAGCCTTTGATGGGGGTTCAATCCGGCCCGTTTCATGAATCTCTTAAGTAAAAAAATGCACAAACACTTCATGTCCGTGATGTTTTTATCAAATGATATTTCATTCAATATGAATATTTTCTGATATACTTGAAAACAAAGGGGAGGAAAGAGTTATTGTTATTTATAGGTAATTATGTTAGAATTGTACTCGTTCGGCCCACTTGACATCTAATCAGGCTGTATGCGGCCCTCTGAACCCAAATGAGTTTGACATTGTTGGTTTAAAGATTATTTTGAAGCTAAGCTAAGTTTAAAAGGTACAATTCAAACAGTCTCCAGCAAAGTATACACACACACAAGAACACACAACCAAATCTCCACCTATCAGTATAAACTGACCCTGAGAGATAGTTAAGGTGAATGAATACTTTAGAACAGTGGTTCTCAAACTGTGGTACACGTACCACCAGTGGTATGCGGGGAAAATTCAATTGAATAAATCTGAAACATACCATGCACAATTAATACTTGTGAGATTATGAAATAGGATGTCTGGTCTTTTTATTTATTTACTTTTGCTTGTTGTTTTGCTGCAATGCAAGTCTGTTGCTCACGTAAGCACAGGCAGCACGGAATCATGGGATCACTTGCAAGTTGAACGTGGAACGAGCAGGGGAATTCTAATGTTGGTCATCATGGTGGTACTCAGAGAGCCAATGTTTACTCAGGTGGTACAGAGTAGAAAAAGTCTGAGAACCACTGCTTTAGAACATAATGTACACTCATGGTAATCAGCTCCACACTGTGCTATGAACACCTTATAGTCACAGTGCACAATATCCAGTTAGAGAAAATCTGATCAGATCCACTCACCTGTTCTAAAACCTTTTCTCTTCTTGCCGTTATGACTATCTTCGCACCAAAGCGAGCATAATGATAGGCCATCTGTTCACCGATCCCTGAGCTGGCTCCAGTCACCAACACCCTGGCCCCTCTGAGAGACTCTGAAAACAAAAACAGTTCTTCCTTAATACAAATTGTTTTTGTTTGCAAAACAAAGATGTGATTAAAATGAACAGTGATACGGGGATAGAGAACAGATGTTGCGTGGTACTGTAGTAGTTAAGTTCTTGCTTAAAACTTCTGCTCTTTGCCATTGTTTCTTGTTCATCTCACATTTCTGTTTTGTTCTTCTGAGTGGTTTCCTGTGTTGACACTCCTTCGTCTGCTACTTGTTTTGTTAACTCCACCCTTTCATCACTGTAGAAGTCTGACTTTCTCTATCCATTCATCCATCCATTATATAGAGGTTATATAATGTAGTGGTTATCACGCCTGCTTAGACATCGGCCTTACACACAGAAGGTCCTGGATTCTTTTCCCAGAAAAAGCACATAGTTAGCACCTCCAAGGGGCAGCCTGTTGTAACAGATCTGCTGTTAACACAATAATGTGGGATCAATAAAGTTCAAACTATAATCTAAATTAAAAACTATATTATCTATCGCTTATTACTTTGCATGGTCATACTGTCGGTATATGTTATAGGGGTGTCAAACTCATTTTCACCGGGGGCCACATCAGCAATACAGTCCTACAGTCACAAAATCTTGTCATATCCATTTACTTATCTTTATTTAAAAATAATCTGGCAATATTTTAAAATAACAGGTCATTCAGACTCTGATACAAACAGAACAGAGTCTAAAAGATGTTTTATTTTGAAAATGTAATGATCCTTCAATGCTCAGCACCTCGGTACCACTCCGTAGTAACGAGTGGTACTGGCTGACCTGTCCTTGGCACAAAACAGGGTGGGCACCGCTGGTACAGACGTAACTACTCCATAACAGACTATTACACGTTTCTGCAATTGATTATTATTTGTTCAAGCTACAAATATTGTTCATTGCTGTGTAATAAAAACTTTTAATTTCATAGGTGAAGAAACTCTGCTGCATGGGCTTTACTAAATGCTTTTTAAGCTGCGGTCCTTGAGTTTGACACATGCCATAGATACAAAATTCTAACAAAAAACAACTTTAAGTTATGTCTGTCTCCTGTCTCTCTCTGCTCTGGTCTCTGATCATACATTAACTAATCTCAGAAGGCTGAACAGAGTCTCTTACCTGCGTCAAAAGCGGGTGCAGTCCACTTGACGGCAAGGAAACAAACACATACACTTGCAACCAGAATTTTTGTAAAAGTTCCCATGTTTGTAAGGTCAATGCAATGCACTTAGTTCAATTCTTCCGTTCTAGGAGCTCTGTAGGATTTCATAAAGCGCCTTTCACGTTATCTACACCCAATACGTCCAAAGTCCAGCTCCAGGGGGCGATTGTGAACAGGTTTTATGAAACCTGTGACCTCTCTTCCCTGTGTTTATTTTTATGGCCTACCATCAGAGTACTATACAGTCGTCTTTACAGAGTCTTTCCAGAGGAAATCTGCCTTGGATGGGACTCGACTGGGCGACTCTGTTTCAATCTGTAAGGCAGTACTTCTCAAATAGTGGGGCGGGCCCACCTGGGGGGGCGTGGTGAACATTCTAAATGTTGAGATAATATTTTAGGTTCTAGATGCTTCCTATAAACTTTGAAAAATGTTATGTACAAAACAAACCTAAATTATACATGATACATGAGGAGAAACAATGATTTTAACTCCTGTTTTTGATTTTCTAACACACGGAAATCTGTTGTAATGTCTTAAACATCTTTTGCAGTTGACTGTCATTGATGATCATCTATCAACTTGTTGATTAAGCTCAACAGGGGAGTCAATATCAAAAAATAAAATTACTTTTCACCTAGAAACAGAACAGGCGCAAAAGGTTTTGCATTTAGCTCCTTTGTAGGCATTTCACGAGCGCTGCGTGAAGACATATTGAAGGATAAAGTTTGTTATAGAAGGGGTCCAGTCTTTGGTTACAGTCACAATGTAGGTGAACCATGGGTAGTAAAGCTCTGGCTGTCTGGTGGCTCCTGCAGTGATGATGTTCAAGGCTGCGTCTGTGGCTGGGTATGCTGGTAGCATAGCGATGTTCCTAAAACAAAGACAATTCATTTTTTGTGGACAATGATATCAATGACAGACAGGTATTTTAATCCAACTTACCGAACTTTTTCCATAGCTGCCTCTGTATCAATGAGTCCAAGTGTGCATATGGTGATGGAAATGTTACTTTTCTTAATGGATAACTCGTGATACAAGGATCCAAAGAAACCGTTCAAGGTGTGTTTGGTCGAGCTGTATGGTGCAACAAAGGGACTGGACTGTTTACCTGAGAAGAATCAGAAATGGAGAGATGTTTTCATTACATTTTTTCAAAAATAATTTCTATTAAATTTATTCTATTATGTATTTAAAGCTAGTATTGCGTTTGTATCCCACCCCAATCTTTAAAGGTGTCATGAGAAGTTTCAGACTAAAGCCTTAAAATTCTTTGTTATAAAACATGGACATTTTGTGATTAAACACAATATATGAATGAGAGTACAGTCACAGGCTTAGACAGCACATGGGATTTACGATTTATGTAAATGTCATTTTTTGAAGCATTAGTTCTCTCTGGAACAATAACACTTACCTAAAAGCGACGAAACAACGATCAGAGATCCTTTACTTTGCTCCAAGGAATCAAATGCTCTCCATGCCATCTGTACGTGGCTATAGAAATTGACCTTTGGACCCATCCATCAAAACAGGCATATTGTGAGATAGACAGGTAAATAGAGAAAGACGTGTGAACCAGTGCATTCTGAAAATTCTTGTTTTGTGTGCTGATGTTTCATCAAACTACTTCATTACCTGCATCAGCCACCTGATATGCTCTACATCCCCCTCCCACATGGTAAAGGGGCTCGGACCGATGTGATTGACAACCAGGTAATCCAATCCTCCCAGCTTTTCCAGAGCAAAATCTACCACTCTCTCTGGGTCTAAGACATTCCCCATGTCTGCTGTTATGTACAGTGCTTTCTGGGCCCCCAAATCCATGCATTTCTCTACAACCTAACAGACAAAACCAGAAGAAAACGATTAGAACTTTTAGGGATTGGCAACTGCAGACAACATGTAAAATAATAAAAACATAAGGCTTTTTTTTAGAAGAACAGTGTTTACAATGACAGCTTATTAGAGTTCCAGTTCTGTAAGACCAGTCAAGTGACTAGTGATGTTCAGACTCCAATGTGATTGGACCTTTTTCACAAAGAAATCATAGACTATGGGTTTAAATGTTCAAAGCATTGGACTTGAATTATTAATTTAAAAAATTAGGAGGATATTTTAATTTCTGTTTTGGGCTATAAAACTAAAATTGACTTGACTCAGTTAATGAACAGACTAATTCACTCAACAATATATTATAATAAAAATTGAATAAATCACATCTTAATTATCTGGCCAAAAGTAATTTCTTAGTGGAATTATTTACTATAAGTTCAAATATAGATTAAACTATCGTAGGCTGTGAAGTAGCAGAAACACATGTTACATTACTGGACAATACTGTAGAAGATAGAGGAGGCAGATTTTATTAGTACATTTTCCATGTAGTTCTGAGAAAATTGTACAAAAACAATTCAAGACCCTACTTACAGTATGAGAAGAAAAGACTAGGACTCTAGGAGTATTTTAACATCAAATCTTCATAATACACATGATTCATTAACAGAAATTGACAGTCTGCTGACCTGCTGTAACATCGCTTCTCTTCTGGCTGTTATAACTATCTGTGCTCCGGATTTAGCATAATGATAAGCCAGCTGTTCACCAATCCCTGTGCTGGCTCCAGTCACTAACACCCTGGCTCCTCTGAGAGACTCTGAAAACAAATAAATACAGAAAAAAAGAAAATCAGGTGACACTGTGTAATATAACATACTTTAAACCGAACACTGGACCCACACAGTGATGTTTTATTTTAAATTTAGATATTTTTATTTAGACATAATTTTCAATTTTACTAGCATGGAATGTATTTGAGGCATACTGTTATTTAGTGGTGATTAATGCAGCAAAAAAAAAAAAAAAATCTTACCAAACAAGGTTTGATAAGATAAACAGTCAAAGTCCTCAGTCATTCGAATACACTATCATAATAGCAAATTGACTGACTGATAACTCGACTTCAGAGGCTCCTGAAGTAACCCTTTAAATGCCTTTCCTATTCAGCTAACCATTAAGAACTGCGACGACAATCTTTTATGGTTTTTAATCTTCTTCGGTGCTAGTCAGTCTTCGTGGTTGCTCGAGCAGATTACCTGCGTCGGTGCTGCGACTCATGGACATTACCACGCTGTCAATTAACTGAATGTATTGTATTCTGTATGGAAAATTCAAGATGCATTTGATGAGAGTCTTGCCTTTTAGTATGTGTCATTTTAATACTATATTCATGTTTTAATATATAAATGTAACCAGTGTTGCAGCTCTGAGACTGACAATCGAAGTCCATTTCGGTATCGAACGCGTCTCTATTCGCGCCGCATCA